TAAGGAATGTGTTAAAATGTTTCGTCTTTAAGACATTAAGTTTTAGCCCACAGCTATATCCGATAAAAATAATAAAAACAACGTTTAAGAGGAAATTTATTTCTTTAGAAGTAAAAATACAAGTCTTGGATCGTCTTTTGAAACGAAAAAAATCATCTCACATTGGAAAAAGGACAATTCCGGACAACTAAGAAAAATGAAAAAGAAATAAGAAGTGCAATTGCTGCAGTATCTTTGACATCCGCAAAACGTGCAGCTCGTCCCCGGACGCCAATAATTGAGAAGATGGAAAAAACACTCAGCACTTGCATTGATGACAGTTGTCGAAAAAAAATTCCATTGGATGGTAATATCGTCAAATAAAAAGCATTCAAAATTTACAAACACTTTAAAGAACATGGACGATCCAGACTTTGTGGCAAGTAAAGGTTGGTTCGAAAAATTCAAAAAGTGTTTTGCAATTCATAGCATAAGAATTCGAGGAGAATCTGCGTCGGCTAATTATGAAGCCGCTAGGACGTATCTAGAAAAAATTTAAAACATTATAAAAGAGCAAGTTTTCAATGCTGACGGAACTAGGCTTTGATGGAAAAAAAATGCCGAGTAGAACATTTATATCGAAGAAAGAAAAAACTACAACCGGATTTAAGGTGTCTAAAGATCGTCTAACACTCCTTTTGTGCAGTAATGCGTCGGGGGACTTTATGACAAAACCCTTGCTAGTTTATAGATCTTTAAATCCTCGTGTACTTAAAGGCGAAAAAATAAAAACACCTTACCTTTACATTGGAAAGCAAATCCAAAAACTTGGGTAACTGGAAATTTATTTAAAGATTGGTTGTTAAATTGCTTTGTACCAAACGTTAAACATTATTTAAGGTAGAAAAAGTTGAGCTTCAAGGTGTTATTACTATTAGATAATGCTCCATGTCACCCACAAGATTTAAATCATCAAAACACTGTTCCTATCATCTAACACTACTTCGTTGCTCCAACCGTTGAATCAAGGTATTATTTGTTAGAGTATTGTGATATGTCGAGAGATGTCGCGAATTAACAAAATCGACATTCATTTGTCAATGCATCGCGAATTGCAGAGACGCTCATTTTGGCGGTAGTGCGAGAGAAGACGCCGTACAATAAAGACGTTGTAAAACACACACAGTTAATTGTATAATAAAACTGCGTAAAAACCAACATTATTTATACCTTTAAAACATATTACATAAGAGCATTACAGTAGATTTTAGACGTAACAGATTCAAAATCAATTAATGTAATAAAAGCTTGGAAGAAATTTTCAATCAAGCACTATACCGACATCTTTTAGCTTTGTCGCTAAAAGAACCGAAAACATCAACATTTCAGCAAATGCGTATTGGAAGATATAGCCTTCTTCAGTTGAAATAAAAAACGTGTGTGAATCGTCAGAAAATGAAATTGGTGGCATATTAGAACTTGTTAAATCAATCGGAGGCGAAAGTTTTGTGGATATGGCTATTGAGGATGTTTAAGATTCATTAGTGGAAGAAGAAGTTGACGAAGCGGATTTGATGGAAATGGCATCCAAAGCCGTAAATCAAATCGATTCTGAGGATATTAGTGTGGAGTGTGGAATTATTTGTAAATAGTTGTGAATGTGTAACGTCCCTGGGGAAACCTTTTCTCTTTCTACCGGCATCATCGCGACAATCTTATATCCATCGATTAGAATAGTCAATTATCGACCGTAGTTGCCAATTATCGACAGTACATTAGGTATCTATTACCATATCTATCAAATTCGACAGTCGGTAATCATAATATATATATATTATCATTTACATTAATTATCTCATAATTTTGATTTAGAGTAGGTAATATTTTCCGCGAAAATAA